CCAAATTAAAAGGTTTCAACTGATTAGAAGACTCCTTTCGCTCTATATTGGTTCTCTGATAAGTCGAAACTTTAAGTGTATTTCAAATCGCAGAATTAATTTTGATGCGTTACAAAATTCTAATAGTGGGCGCCCGACTTCGGCAAATTGAAACTTATCAAAATCAATAAATCTTTCGAGCGCCTCGGTTGCCCGAATTTTTAAATACGATCTTTATCACGAATTATCCTTTCTCTGAGTGAGAAGGTTGACAAACATAATAAATTAGGCCCTTCATATCGTACCGTCTTTTGCGTTTTGTTCGGTGGGTGAAAACGTCGTTTTGGGTTGATTGACTTATAAATGTAAGAGATAAACTACGTAAATAGTTTAATTATTATTGATAACATTAAAATCTTTTAAATTAACTCTTTTCTTTTAGATACATTTACTTTAATTTGAGAAGCAAATGATATAAGTTATAATAACTTATAATGACTTCCAGGAACTCTAGTCAAGAAACACTCAGACGTGTTTTTGTTTACAATCCAGATTGGGAACACGAAGCATGGGCTAAAGGATGGTTGAGAAAAAATCGTACTAGTGATCAAGAAGAAAAGGCTTTCTGTTTTGTGTGCAAAAAAAGTCTCCGTGCTCATCTCACTGATTTAAAAACTCATTGCGCCAGACGAACACATACAAGACTGGCAGAGCAAATCGATCTAAAGTGACAACCAACAATAGCATCTTTGTGCAAATCTCAAGGAAATAAAGATGCGGCAAGTAAGTTCCACGATCTTCAGTTATCAGCATTTGTGGCTGTGCATACTGCCATTCAAACAGTTGATCACTTAAGTGAAATTCTTAAAAATTTAGAGTTAAAAGATATACATTTACACCATACTAAATGCAATAATTTAATTACCCACGTGATAGCTCCTAGCATGTTGTTAGAAGTAGTCGATGATGTGGGTGAGAGTCCTTTTTCATTTGTATTGGATGAATCGAGTGATATTTCTTCGTTGAAGTACCTATGCATTTGTATTGAGTATTATAGTACAAGTTTGGGTAAAATCATAACTGATTATGTGGAAATGATAGAAGTAAAAAGATCAACGCATGGAATTTTATACAGTGCAATAATAGAGTTTTGTAAGATAAACAGTTTTGAAACAGGAAACCTGATTGGCTCAGAAATTGACAGAGGATCAAATTTATGCAAGAAAAAAACACGGTATTCACTCTTTTCAAAAAAGTAAACCCCAAAGTACAATTAGTACGCTGCATCAGTCATGCTCTGCATAATGCAGCTTCCAAAGCCTCTACTCATTTTCCTGCAAATGTTGAATTTTTATTAAGTGAAATTTATGCTTAGTTTAGTGAAAGTTCGGTCAGAAAGTATCAATACAAAGCCACATGGAGTTTGATAAACCTAGAGACTTTAATGGATTCTAGTGCCATTAACAAATTTCATAAATTTTTACCAATGTCAGAAACTAGATGGTTAGTTAGGTATTTTATTGTTACGGTTATTTTAGAGCGTTATGACACTTTGAAAACTCATTTTGAATGCGTAGTAAAAAAAGAAAAAGATTACAAAGCTAGATTACTAAACGAAATGTTACAAGATGAGAAAAATAAGTTGTATCTGCTAATTATTAAGCCAATTTTAGCAGAAATAAACAATACTGATACATCGTTTCAAAAAACGAATGTGGACTTGGGTTTAGCGTATAATGATATAGGATATTTGATTCTTTTTTTGGCTTAAAAAGTTATGAAAATAAATTTCAGCACTGGTGGCTTGGATATAGTTTTAAAAAATGTTAATAATATTTTAGCGTTTATCGATGTGCATGATTGTGATTTCGGCATAGAGTACACAAAGTTGCTGAATGCCCTAAGCATTAATAACGAAGCAAAATAAGATATTGAAAACCGTGCATATACATTTATTAAAAGTCTTTTTCTAGAATTATCAAAAAGATTGCCTGATAATATAGAAATGTATAAAAAATTACGATTTTTATCGCCAACTGTTTGCTTGTTTCATACTTTGAGACCAAAATTTTCTGATTTGCCATTTCAAAACTTATTTATGGATGCTAAAAAACTTGGATTAACAGAAAATCAATGGAATAAGCTTGTCACACTAGATNGCATATACATTTATTAAAAGTCTTCTTCTAGAATTATCAAAAAGATTGCCTGATAATATAGAAATGTATAAAAAATTACGATTTTTATCGCCAACTGTTGGCTTGTTTCATACTTTGAGACCAAAATTTTCTGATTTGCCATTTCAAAACTTATTTATGGATGCTTAAAAAACTTGGATTAACAGAAAATCAATGAAATAAGCTTTTCACAGTAGATTGGGTCGCTTTGTACGGTAAGAACGCAGTAGATAGAAGTTATGACTTTTGGCCTGTGGTATATACACATAAAAGTGCTGGAGGTCAACAAATATTTGCAGACTTAGCTACTTATTCATTAACTCTACTCTCTTTACTGTTAAGTAATGCTGTTGTCAAACGCGTTTTTTCTGTAATGAATGCAGTAAAAACTAAATGCCGAAATCGGATGTTACTAAAATTGTTAGATTTAATTTTGAGTATTCGAATGAAATTCTACTCACACAAGATTTGCTGTAAAGATTTTATTTCTTCGCCAGCGATGATCCTTTATTGTAACTATAAGACTGCGTACAATAAGACTTCAGAAATATCTAGTGAACAAAATATCGTAGAAGAAGAGACTGAACTTATAAGTGTATTGCAAGATTATGATGTACCTTGTATCAGTATACCAGAAAAAATTAGAAATGTAAATGAGAAAATCCATAAAAAAATATCCAAAATTTGTTGCCTGTTTAAAAACAAATTTTTTAGATGGGCAAATCTGGGATATTAGGTATTTGTGGATTTCTCATATCCATACACATATTGTTATATGTTTCCAAAGAACTCGTTTATTATAATTAGATTTGTAAGATGTATATATGACTATAAGATGCATGTAAGATATCCATGACTAAATTTTTTTATAAGAATGCATTAATTCGAAATGAACTTTTGTTTAACTAAAGATAATTTAAAATTTTATCCATTTTCATTCAGTTGTATCTAAACCTTTTAACATTGTGTTAAGTAGTGATAAAATATTATATACGACGCCTAAAGGTTTATTTTCCTTAAGAGAAGACATAATTTTCCTATCGAAGTTTTATTTTCACTAGAGTCTGTGATAATCGTACATAATTTAATTAATGTATAACCTTTTTATAACAAATTCTTTAAATATTGGCATAATTTTTCTGGGCTTCTATGCAGCATTTAATACTCTTGAAGGAACTCTGATGGTTTTATTCATTTATAGTATTGATGAGTTACGTTGGAATATTCTATTCAAGTCTTTTTTTTTTTTTTTATGAAGTGAGGAGGGGAAACGCTTGATAGACACCCCGGCTATTCTGTTGGTAGTGTCAGATTCACTCGGTCAGCCTACTGACTAAAAACTGACCCTTAGTACAACTCACTTAGAAGACGAAAGGAACCTAAGAGAAGAAGGAAAATGGAAAATAACAGAGAATTTTGGAGGCCAGCTCGCTCTCATAGGAATGAGAGGAGGGGCACTCACTCATCTGGGCGAAGCTCCAATATTGGCTTGAGCTAGAATAGAGCTGGAGAAGCTTAAATTATGATATTATGTGCGAGTGACGTATAAGTCTGCTATCTATTTGTGTTTGGAGACGTACTCGTGATTAGTGTAAATGTTGTACTGAGTTGAGGCTGTAGAGGATGTAGCGGACACATGGTGCTCCTGAGGGGAGCATACGAAATTGAAGTCAGGTTTATTCAGTGAGTCATGAAGATGCGCCCAATGAAAGCATGGAAGATTTAAGACCAAGAGTATTCTGGGGGTCCTTGGGGTTATGAGCAAGAGTGCATAGACGTCTTATAAGGTTGAACAGACCAGGCTGGATGTTTGCGAGCGCAACATGGATTCTGGATGCGAGAACAAGGGCTGCTTTAATTGCAGAAATGATGTTGAGTTCCTTTATAATTTGAGTATTCCTGATGAACCACAAAATATCCAGGGCCGATCTCAATACTTTCATGAAAGGACTTTGTATGAATTCTAATTTCTGTATGAGTAATAACTCAGAAGTATTAAAAAAATGGATTATTTAATTTAGCTCATTTCACGTTCTACACGAAAACAAATAGTATGAATTATATAAAATTGCAAAAAAGCATGATGCTTATTAAAATAAAAATTCTAAGTCCACATTTATAACATCGTGGTGAATTCAAAAGTATGACTAGAAATTACGTCCACTCGATATGTTATCATTGTCATCAGCAAAAATTGTATCTAGCCAAGGGCAGGGTAGTGCAGTTAAATAACTCGAAACAGGAAGGATCAATCAAACACTGAAAATATAACATTGCAGTACTTATGACCACGTACATTCTACTTAAACTTGCTGTCATACCATAGTGATTTCCATCACAGTATTCTTAATAATACTGACAGTAATATTTTTACTGTTAGGATCATGTAAAAGTTTCACTACGTTATATGGCTGAGACGACTAGACTAAAGCTGTCAGCAGATGTTCTAATGATATTTTTTTCAGTCGAAGGTCAACTGATTCACAAGCAGTGAGAAAATCTAGTACCATTATTATTTTATATTGTTATCAATATTGTAGTTACGTTTTAGACACAACTTGCTCCCAACTTGATCCAACTCTTTAATGGTATCAAAGATCTTTAAAACTGTAATTATAAACCCTCTTGACGCGTATAAGGCAATTTCATATAGTAACCATAATGTAAGATATTGTACTGTCTGACATGTAGAACGTCATACACAATAAATATATTTATCCACGACACAGTGGTACCAGATAGGTAGAAGCATGAACGATTGTAAAGAACATAAGCTAGCTATAGTTGCCTCATCACAACTAATGTACTTTCCTTGTATCATAATAAATACTTTTACTTCCACAGCTGAAGATGGAGATGAGCTGGCTAAGATCCATAAGGTACGCGTCATAAGGAACGAGAAGCGTGAGGGCTTAATGAGATCACGAGTAAAGGGAGCTGGTGCAGCTACAGCAGGCGTGCTAACATTTCTAGATTCACACTGTGAATGTAATGTCGACTGGTTGGAGCCACTGCTGGAAAGGATTGCTGACGATCCAAGCCGAGTCGTCTGTCCTGTCATTGACGTCATTAGCATGGACAACTTTCAGTACATCGGTGAGTAAGCTTAAATAATTTTTATTTCATACAGACAGAAAAAATCTGGCCATTCTTAAATGATTTGTGAAAAACGGTTGAAGATTTTAATTAAACACTATGAAAACATTTGTTAATAAATAACTCAAGTCATTAATAGTTGATAAATATTTGCTTCTATGTAATCATATAGAAAAAAAAAAATTCGGTGACAGTCAAGGAATTTATTGCTGAACAATGAAATTTATAGTCGTGAGAGTAGACAAACGTTTTCAATTTTTTGACATATTAAATACCATGTTTTCCTTCATTTGTCGTTCATATTATACCATAAAAATTAAGAAACGTTACTGCAACAAACTTCCAACATTTTGGAGTTTTTATTCTCACTCCTTGATTAGCTCTTACTGATCGTGTCCTTATGCACTGACCCATAAATAATTAATAAGAATTAAGACTTATATATATCGGATGGTTGANGAAAAATTGAAACAATTATTGTTTTAAAAATAACCCAATATATATTCACAAGGCATCACTCACCGCCCTCCTTACACGATCCCAGTCTTACCCTCACGAAAAGCTAGTTGTGCTTAATAGACGAATTTTAATTTTTTTGCGACAGCTTGTCCAAATATGGTGATTTTTTGAGTATGCATTATTATTAAAATTAATAATTTATTCATTCACCTCATTACACTTCTGTATTTCCATCACTCTATGATTGAGCGTACTTGTAATTTAAAGTTTAATTTTTTGAGATCATATTTAATTTTAATAGTGTACTATGTACGTATATTTACTCTTCGCAAAAACAAACGAGTTGTCACTCTCTGATTAAAGTGGCTTAAGTATTTATTTATTTACACTCATGTGTTTCATACTTGACTCTCGAGTCCTACAAGCGGTTGTTAAATTACTTTTCCACCTTCTAACCTCAAAATAGTACCTCCGCCGCTTGATTTTGGGTTCTCAGGCGGAAAAATAGTATACGAAATTCGTTCGAAATGGCTTCTTTACGAACCCCGTTACGGCCCTCGCTTTCGGCTCATGCCGTAAACCTTTCGATTCGTAAATCGAAGCCCTTGCAAACTTGTACATAATATACTATTCTATTGCAGTTGCTAAGTGAACAAAAACTTAAATAAATGCTATTTATTAAATAAATGAATGGACTCAAGTACAATTTTAGATAATATTAAATAATTAATTGAAATGATAATGTATCTGAGCATGACGTCTGATTAAAATTGCAACTACATGTGTATCATGTTCCAATTTTCAGGAGCTTTTCCGGCAAGCTCATTAGGGATAATTACTTAATTGACAAATGAAGACAACAACTGAGATTCACAGCAATGTTTACAAAAGAGTCTATCTGAGTTACAAGTCTACAACCACTGTGTGTGCAGCAATACAGACAAGAGTATGTCTCAGTTGCAAGACTATTGGCCTGGCACAGAACTGGTGGTGACATCTAAAATGGCACAACTTAGCACCATAGTGTGCATGAATAAATTTCGAATAAAAAAAACCAGAAAGAAGTTTAATACAACTTTTCGATAAAATATTAGGTATATTTGAGTTATTTTTTGGATACTGTCGGTAATATATACAGCTATACTCTGCTGTGATGCTTGTAGTTACATTGGTAGTCGTTACTCACTTTGGTCTCGTTTCGCACATCCCCTCTTTTCAGCTGCACCAAGCAACGAGCCTCAGAGTATGCATTAACACAAACAGGAGTTTATCTCAGTGACAAATCCATAGCCACAATGCGTGAAGTACGAAGGCACGAAGCACCATACCCAAAAGATCGTGGTTCCAAACATGAATGGAACAAAATCAGTAATTAAATTATTCTCTAAGATTTATTGTTATTAACATATAGAACAGAATTCATTTTTTACAAAAAGAATAAACTTCAACGTTTTTTCTTCTCGCTATCAAATATTATCTACTTGCTTTTCATTTCTGTGTGCTTTGTAACAGTTAACTGTTAATAAATAACCAATAACCAATAACCCAATAACTTATTTTACCCTATGTTTATTCATAAAACTATGTAACACTTTGAGCTCTTCATGGATTTCAGAGTATAATTGCAATTTGCAATTTGCAAGTTTGCTATTATCAATTATTGTAATAATAAAATTTACAAGAATCACACAATAAAGTAAGTTCTGATGAATAATAGATGACAACAATATTGAGTGGTCCTCCACCTATCAAAAACACAATTAATGTGGTACTAAAATTACGACACTGAGAAAAGTGATGTTAAAATTTTATTATAACTATACTAAAAATTTCTATATTTTTGAGGAAAGCTAAGACATACTCTCCTGATGATGCAAGTTCATAAGTTTATAAAAATTTGTACCATATTCTAAATGATAATAACTATCACTATGTAGCAGCTCTAAAAAAATTATTACACAACATAATAAAAATTACTATGTCTAACATCATAGTATAAATTGATGATAGTATAATTTATGCAACATAGTAAATTTTATTGTAATCATTTGAAAATGTCCCACATTCTAAAGAAGATTTTACTATGTGACACAGTGAAATTTCTAATACCACTGCATTGCTAATCAGTATACTAAAAATTACTATGTTCAAAAGTCATTTTATGTGACGTTTTTATTAATTGAGTGAGATGGTAGATCACCTAAAGGTATACACGCCTATTGAGTTTCAAATTTAAAGTTGTACTAATGTAAACATTACGTGAAACAGATTTTTTTTATTCATACGGGTTTGAAATCAAGTTTAAATACGTACAGACAAATAATTTTGAATCAACTAGTTATCTGTTATGATCAATACCACATGGTCTGCAGGAAACCTTTCGATTTTCAACTTTATTGTGTGTATCATAAATAGCACACATTCCCACACGTACTTTATCGATGCTAACAAGCATATAGAATATCGTGGTCTTGTGGTTATGGAGCCTTATTGGGAAGCTGAAGGACAGAGGTAAAAACTATTTTGTTATAAAGCAAATTTCGACGGGTAACTGTAGGTGTTACTGATACTTTTTTATTTGCAGTCACTTAAATCTGTGATAAAAAGAAGGTAAATTATGTAATGTGTGGGTTAAAAACTTTTTTATCAACATTTTTAATTTTAAAAGTAGAAAAAAAAAAGTCTATAATATCGTGTTTTAATTTTAATAAGTATTTTAATGATTGATCAAAATGCATATATTACTGGCATTATGCACCTATTACGGGCCGTCAGATAGTGTAAAAATTCGAACTTTTACTTTATTTACTGGCCGAATTTCTACGAAAATTTACTGGCAGATACTAGCATCAATGTTGTATGAAAAAAAAAGCGTTTACAGGTCATTTTACTTATTATGAATAAAAAAATAGGTGTCCTTTCATTATTATATTTTATATGCTGAGATTTTACGATAATTATTTCTATTTTAACGAATTTTCGAATAGTCGATCTGGCAGCCGGAGTATACATTTCTCGATGAATTCTAACACCTCTTAATTTTTTGTTACTAAAATAATTAATACTTCTTTTACAAATGTATCTATTCAATAATAATTTTATGTTAATATAGTTTATAAAAAAAAAAATATATTTTGCGCATTTGTTATTAGTCAGTTATTGTTTCACGATAGTTTTCTGTTAACTGACAGTAACTGGAGCAGTGCCAAGAATACCCACAGTTACCCTAATCTATTTTTACTTTGTAGCATAGTAATTATTATGATAAGTATGTTTCAACTTTCTTAAAAAATATAGTAATTTTCATCATAGTTATAATACTTTTTCTAACACCACTTTTCTCAATGTATGCACACAAATAAAATAAACATTTATATTTACCTTACAAATGCAACATTCAGCTTATTCATAGAAAATTACCCCTTTTTTATACGTTTTTGCAAGTTTGATCATGAACGCAACTTGTAAAATAGTTTTATGGATTATATACGACAAAATTCACTAGAACTATTTAGCCCTATAATTGTTATATAGTATACGATGAAATTCTTTGTGGACTCTTCGTTTCGTCCAATGCACTTTCCTATTAATTTTTATTAGTCTGTCTTAATAGAGTCAGTATATTTAATAACACTTAGTTTTGCACTTTATCTTGTCGCCATAAGTTGCATAATCACAAAGTTAGTAAATTATAAGTTTTCTGTGTCAATTGCTTCTAGTGATTATTTAACTCCCTACTTGGTTATCAACTAGTCTTTTGCTCATGTACTAAATCAACTTCAATCTGATTTCATATTTTTTTTTTAAATAATTCACTTGAAACTTATTCCTCATAAAACAAATATGGATTAAGTCATTTATGTAAAACAATTAACGGTGAAATATGAAAAACGCAAATTATGTCAGGAAAAATAAACAAAAAAAACATCGTTGGTATATTTATATAATTTTTAAATGTCACTTAAAAATCATCAGAAAAGAATCTGTCTTATCTCATTCTGATAGGCCAATACTTTACTATTAAAATAGTTTCTGTTTGTTTTTTAATTATGGTAATTAAGTATAATGATGTGTCTGGGGTCATGACTGTCATAGGTGCCTCAGCTGATCTAAGAGGTGGCTTTGATTGGAGTCTTGTCTTTAAGTGGGAGTATTTAAGTCAAGCTGAGCGCCAGGTTCGCCAAAAAGATCCAACTCAGGCCATCAGGACACCAATGATTGCTGGGGGTCTGTTTGTCATAAACAAAGTCTACTTTGAGAAATTGGGCAAATACGACACACAAATGGATGTTTGGGGTGGCGAAAATCTTGGTAAGTTGTATTTTGGTATTTTTAACTTTTTTTTTACAATCGGTTGGCTTTTTTTTCTTTTAGCTTATAACCTTATTTGCATAAAATTACATGCTTTTATTACATTTACTTGTGCTCATTCAAATCTCCTTACATAGACACAGATTTTTGTGTTTTCAATTTGCACCCCACAAACTCACATGATTATTTATAAACCCGCTGTCCTCGAGATTTTTGTTATTCGCCCCTATTAATAAATTTATTTTTATACACAAATTATATTATATTGTCAAATTAAAGACATATAATTAACCACATGTGTATGAGCATGAAAAATAGGAGTTACAGAGAAAAAAATGGTGTCATAATTTAGATTGTTCAGATTTAGTCAGTAATCGTAAACAAATAAATATTAGAAGTACCAAAGCAGTGATTTCTTCTGCTCTACGCGCATCGTACTTGTGTGTCAGACGAACTAGTGGTTATCGATCAGTCGGAGTTCTGTAATATTTCTGTTCATAGATTGAACTAGGAAACTAAAAGTATAATTTTGTAAGTTTCTAGCGTACCACGACGTGGCTTCGCCTGCGTTGTATAAAATGTTTGAACTATTTGTATTGAAATATATCTTCCTACAACACTTCTGTACAATCCAAATGTTTATAGAATGTACAATGTAGGAAATTTTACCGTGGCTTTGTCCACTTCTTATCCATGAATGCTTAGAATATTAGGTGGCTTCGTCTCCTGCGCGCTCCGCGCGCTAACCCTCCAAACTTTTTTGATGAAACATACTTCTAATAATTATTTCAACTAAATCGAATGATTGAATTTTAAAAATAAATCTAAGCTCAAACGAATAAAACAACCTCGATTAGCCTGTAGAGCGCTAGATGTAGTCAGCGCTTGTCTACTTAATCTCATTTGTACATTTAAATGTACCACCTTTCGTCCCTCACGACTAATCAGATCATCAGATAATCGGCGTATTCTGTCGACAGTTACGTAATACTAATTCTTTTAGGGTGTATTTGAGATTTAGGATATATGTTAACTATACAAATTGAAAAAACAAAATACTTTTTAGTTGGAATGGAGGAGAAGCTGAGAAAACAAAAAAAAATGCCAAATTATATAATTATATATTGAAGGTTTTTTTCTTACCATATACTCCCAGGAACGGTCAAAGTTTCATGAGATATGAAGTTTCAGGAAATGTGTTATCACTCAACATCGACTATGTGCTGAAGTGCATGTCACACGTTACTGAAGCTTACTACGAACTTTTACTCATTAAAGTAACTCCATAAAATTGATGACGGGAGCGGCTCAGTCAATGTAAAGTAACATTGAAAACATAACCACTCACCTTCTAGTGATCAAAAGTTAAAACTCCCTTTCAGAGCTGTTTTACAGTTAGTTTTTATAAGTAACATAACAACGTTTCTGTTACAGTTATAATTAATTATAATAGCTTATGACACATTAGAAGTTGTCACTGAACTTCTGTCAAACTTACGGATCGATTAGTTCAGTAGATTTTAAGGTTTTTGCAAACATACAAACAAACGCTGTCTCTTTATATAATTGTAAGATTAGACTTATACTCACTGATTAAAAGAGTGTAATAATGTTGTGAACCACTAAGCTTTTTGGTTCTCAGAATATTATAATTAATAGTATAATAACATTTCCGTAAGCTTATGTTTGTTAACTATCATACAAAAAAAAAAAAACGTTTCCGTACCTTCAGAATTCCAACTTTGACCACGAGTGGGGGGGCACTGAGGTCATTCTTACAGTGAATATAAAACCCACACTATTCATACACATACGAGCACACATACCTATACACACACACTAAAGGCTTTAAAAAACACTTTGTAGGACTGCGTTATTTAAACTAAGGTAGTATTACATGCCAATGAATGTAGCTTGAATTAAAAAATTACCTTATTCACAAATGAAACAATTTAGAAAGAATAAACCTAAATGAAAATCTTATATCCATCCATAAAACCTCGTATGAATAAAACAATGACAAATAAAAAATAAAAACTTTAAAGAAAATATAAGAAAAGTTGAGAAAAACTAAAAATATAAGAAAAATTGAAACAATTATTGTTTTAAAAATAACCCAATAATAAAAATTAAATAAATATTTGCTTGTACGTATAATAGCTGCTACTTTAAGAAAGGGTTTGTTAAGTTAAAAAAAAATTATTTAATTAAGTGAATTACGTATTAATGAGTGTAACTTATAGTTGAACCAAAACAATCCATTAACAATCAATGAACATACAAATTAACAAAAAATTACGAACCTTACTATAGCACAGAACATGCCTATAAAGGTATGACTTTGACAAAAAATGAATTTATATAAGTATTGGTTATTAGACAGTAGCTAGCAGGCAATGGATAAACCGAAAATGGCGGATGAAGTCATTGGCAAATAGGTGGTGACAAGGGGTCCCATGACATGGTAGAAAAAAAATTTTTAGGGTAGGTCCCAACACAAAACTATAATTTTAAGTTAATATTATGTACGTAATTTGAATTAAGTACTAATCTATTATAAATAAGAAAGTGATAAACAAATACAACAAGGAGAAATATCGATTATTAAAACAAAAAGGTTACAACTCTAGCCAGCACGATCTTAGGAATGCAGCATTCATCAAATATACATACCTTAATAACAACTGATAGCAATAATATATTATTGTTGACACGATTGAAAAATTATAACTAAATAATTGAGGCGAAATATCAATTTTCTCAAAATTATCATCTATAACTTACCAGCATGATTCTTGACATTTAGAATCTTACATTCATACTCAAATTATAGTCTATCATTAGCATAAGTCTTTTAGTCACATTGCTGTTGGACCCTTTTACATAAGTATATCGTATTTGGTTGGAAATAACAAAGGGCAAAAAAAAATCAATTATCTCGAAGTTCAAGGGTGGTTAAAAATTAGTTTTAATTTTGGAAGACTGCTAAAATGATATACTTGGGGATTATCGTAGGTGAGCCAAACCTCGGTGCTCGAGGATAACGGAGGTACGAAGCAGTTCACAAAATGACAAGATAGAGCGTGTATTAACCTTAACTTTATTTAGTACAACAGACGGAGTATTAATATAAGGTAAATTGAGGTGTATCGGGACACTTTTGATGGTGTGAAATTATCATCCTCGGTTTTTCAAAAACTATATCACAATAATATGTAAAATCGTTTTCAACCGTTAGCGCACATTTTTTTTCTATCAATTAAAAAAAAAATTATTGATTTGTTCTTTTATAAGTGTTTAAAAATAAAATTTTTAAACTTATGTCTAATTCAACTGTAATGGGACACACGTAGTTAAGGTAATTCGGGACATCGATTAAGCTAATTCTGGACAAACGCCCAATTTACAATTTAATTACATGTAATCTAGTCCATATTGCTATTACAGTGATTATTCCTAGATAAATTAACTATTTATAGATAAAACAATAAGAACTGGAGCTTATTTTAGCCTACAAACTGATAAAAGTTGTTTGAAATGGGGAAAGTGTATCCTCACTTACGTTACGTATTGTCACGTTCTGAATCTAAATTTTAGTGATAGGCAGTCGAAAAATGTGAGATTCAATTTTTTAAATAGTTTTTGAATACAAATCCATATTTTCTCTGCCACCGCATAGAAGACAATCGCGCACGAAAAATTTTAGGTTACGATTTAAATTCTCCTTACTACACATAACTTACGTTGACAATTCTACCAAACTTTAATGTTTGTGATATCTCTAACTCCAGTAACATTAGAAAGTACGAGAAAACGTTTATATTTGTGGAATTATTCGAAAAAAAGTACGTACTCAATTCTGACCAGCTAAAGCTGAAGTTATTTAACTTTTATGGTAAAGTAGGACATACATGATTTAATCACTATATAAGAATAATTAATTATGTTAATTTATCACTTCAACTCATACATTTTTTTTTTTTTTTTTCTTATAAAAGGTCTAGTAGAAAAAAGAGAAATTTTTTGTTTCAAATAATAATTTGTTTAACACTGTTTTCGATGCTGTCCCGAGTCACCTTAAACATTTTTCGTGTTCCGAATTACCTGAATTTACCTTATCGATTCCGCCGATCGAAGGCGAGACACGTGCTGTCGCTGGTCAAGAGTGTGTGTCAGGCAGCATTTGCTACTGAAAGGTAGGAGCTACTGATAGAAGTATCGTGTGTGGTGGTGCGAGAAAGTTACAACGTTTTTACGTTGCTCTATAAGAGGTTGTATAAAATGTGTGATCTTTAAAAGCAAATATCTCGAAATTTTCCACGCTTGGAAGGATAAATAAAGACACATATACACATAAATACATTTATAAAAATTATTGTTTTTCAAAACATCATCAGATCTAAAATACAGCATTTTATATTTCAGAATTGTTTGTGAATGCAACAATATTTTATTAGCAAACAGTTTTTTTCTAAGAGATCTTATTATCCTACAGTGTAATTTTTATAAATAAGATATATTTTTTTTCAAAATACGTTAACCTTTTACCTTTTGATGTATAAAAGTGCTTATTATAACATTTTTGGAAACACACAGATAGGGTCTTTTTTAATTTTATCTATTTATTTTTGAATGGAAATGTTAATTCGTTTTGTGGCGTAAAATTATTTATGACATTACCAGAGTGCTTTTTTGTTTAGTTAACAATAACAGCCTTATTATTACATTGATTATTGACAGAATTATTTGTCTCATCATTCATGGGGTTATCTAGCCACTAGTGAATCTTGAATATTTGCTGTCATTAGGTTGGAAATTTTTTGTTATAATTTTAGATTATTTTCTTTTTCTATTATAAACTTTCAAGTTAGTACTTTTATTAAGTTTATTATCTTCAATTCAGTCTTCTTACACTCATGTCAATATTTTAACGATTTCTTATATCCTTATTCATCAAGTCATCATCGAGGTTACTGGCATTACTGATGATGTTTTTTATA